AAAAAAAAAAAAAAAAAAAGAAAGAGAGCTAAACTTTGATGAGTAGAGAAAGAAGGGTTTCATGTTACTGGGTCTTAGCGTATTCCCTATTTATGCTACATAAGACCTGAGAAGTAGGAATATAAGAAAACATTAAACTTACTGGTTTTCTTCATTTCTAAAACTGTTGACTGTCTTTCTGTGTTTCATGATGGCTCAGGCTGCTCCCCATATTTACTAAAAATGAGCTTTACAAAGATACTAGGTATGCATGAATGCATTCTACGTATTTAGGTCAAAATGAATAATGAAGAATTAAATGTATAATCACCTGTTGTATTTGGAGCCAGATGACATAAATCTTTATAGACAGGGTGACCACAAAATGCACTGTTCAAACTTGAACCTTCTTGAGAATGAAAGAGGACTGAATTAATAATTAGGCTTGGCAGCAGAGTAAACTGGGACAGATCTGAGCAAACCAGCACTTAACCGTCACTGTTCTTATAGGCCATAGCAAGGTGTTTGCTGTTTATCCAAAGAAGAATGGAAAGTCATTAAATCAGAAGAGTGATGTATTTAGAAAAGAACATTTAGCTGAAATGTGTAGAAAACAAATAAGAAAATGATAGGAGTGAATAGAGGTAGAAGTTAGAAGGCTAATGCTGTTATCCAGAGGTTCCTTGTACATTTTGCAGGGGAAGTGAAAAGAGAAAGTGGATAGATTGGACAGCCTTTACAGACGTAAACTCAATTAAATTTAGTGATGGGTTTGGGGATCTGGATGTTTCACCTTACTAGAGAGTATTCAATCATAAGTCAGAGGAGTAGCTATAATGTAGAAGGAATCATAACATCGGGTGGAGGTTGGACTATATGACCTGGAATTTCTCTTACAGTTTGAAAATATGGTATTCTGGTGAAAAAAATGTGGATTTTACAGTCAAATGGGATTATAAATAAATTCTTGCTCAACCACTAAATCCGTGTGTGGCCTTCAGCTATGTATTTTTGCTTTCTGAGCTTCCATTTCCTCATTTGTAAAGTGGGGATGACAAAACATACCTCATAATGTTGCCGTGAAGACAAATGCATATAAATTGGTTAGCACAACGCCAAAAGCTTAGTAAATGTTCAATAAATGATATTATTATTATGTACTTTTTCAGATCTTTGATCAACCTGATTATCTAAAAATCTAACAGTGGGAAAGGCAAAAATTTTTTGATATTAAATATCCTATATTTTAATGTCCAGAGAGAAGCTTCTGGTTATGTATATCCCAAATGAATATTTGAGAGGTAAAACCCTTCTTAGTTCTAGAAAATCTGTGAATCAAACTAGCTTTGCGTCTGTAAGTCCTATGAACCTATTTTCAGTACAATTATTCAGTTCTCAAGGTCCTATATTACTAATAGGAAAATGAGTTGCCCTTAGTTTTTTTAATGTGGAAGAATGTTGTACAGTGTATTTTGTGCCCTCCTGAAACAATATATCCCGAACAGAGCAGTGTCAAACCCACTTTTTATACTAAATCATCTCCTCCCCCAATAAGTAGCTTATAGACTTTAACTGTCATGGAAAACATAGCATAGAATGTATCATATTGTAAGAAAATTCAAAACTGTTTTCCAGAGTAACTTTATCATTTTACATTCCCACCAGCAATGAATGAGTGATACAGTGTCTATGCATCCTCACCAGCATTTTTTATTATTTTTTTAAATTTTAGCTGTTTTAACAGGTATATAGTGATATAGCATTTTGATATTGATTTACATTTTCCTAATGGTAAATTGCTGTTGAACAACTTTTCATGTGCTTACTCACCATATGTATCTGCTCTTTGGTGAAATATCTACTCATTTCTTTTGCCCATATTATAATTGTGTATTTTTTATTTAACTGTTGAGTTTTGAAAATTCCTTGTATATTCATGATATTTCAACCTCATAGCAGGATTGTTTTGTGACACAGAAGTTTTTAATCTTGACACAGTGCAAGTTATTATTTTTTCTTTTATGTAACATGCTTCTGTTGTAATATCTAACAACTCTTCACCTAGCACTAAATCCCAAATATTTATCCTATGTTCTCCTTAAAACATTTAAGAGTTTTACATTTCAAACTTAAACTAATGGTATATTTTATTTTATTTATTTTTGTTCAAAAAGGAGGTTTATTAATAGGAAAACCACGTGAAGGTGGGGAAAGGGTTCAAACTTTGAAAAGATTGGAGGAGGACATTTTCCTCAGACAGAATTTCCTCTAGGCAATGCTGACCTCTTCCTCTAACTCTTGTGTACCATTTTGGCCTTCAACCTAAGATGGAAAATCACTTTTATTATTTTTTTATTTTCAAAATATTAAAGGGGTGCAAATGTTTTTGTTACACAGATACCTTGTATAATGCCCAAGTCGAGGCTTTTAATATGCCCATCACCAGAATAGTGTTCATTGCACCCAATAGGTAAGATTTTACCCCTCACTCACACTCCCGCCCTCCCCCTTTCTTGGATTCCAATGACCTCTACATCTCTTTGTGCCCGTGCGTGCCCACCATTTAGCTCCCCATTATTAGAGAGTACATGTGGTGTTTGTTTTTCCACTCCTGAGGTATTTCACTTGGAATAATGATCTCCAGTTCCATCCAAGTCGCTGCAAAAGACATCATTTCATTCCTTTATATGGCTGAGTAGTACTCCATAGTGTGTGTGTATGTGTGTGTGTGTGTGTATAATATTTCTTTTAGTAATCTCCATACCATTTTCCATAGAGGTTGTACTAATTTGCAGTCCCACCAACAGTATATAAGTGTTCCTTTCTCTCTGTGTCCACGCCAGCATCTATTGTTTTTTGACTTTTTAATAATGGCCATTCTGATGGGTAAGTTGGTATCTCATTGTGGTTTTAATTTGCATTTACCTCATGATTAATAATATATTTTAAATTAATTGTTGTGTATGGTGCAAGGGTTAGGGCTAGGATCATTAATTTCCCTATGGATGTACAGCAAACTTTGATAAAAATACTATCCTTACTTCATTGAATTGATTTAGCAACTTTGTCAAAAATTAAGTGGATGTATTTGTGTCTGTCTAATTTTGGCCATTCCACTTTGTTCTATTTATCCTCTGCCAATATCACACTCAGGTAGAGTGATTCCTTTCACTTTATTATTGCTTTTCAAAATTGTTTTAGCTATTCTAGTTCTATTACTTTTCTATATAAATTTTAAAAAAAGCTTGTCTAAGTCTACAAAAAATTGTTTTATTTTGAAAGAAATATATTAAACCCATAGATCAAATTGTTAATATCAGACATCTTCACTATACTATTTACCATACTATATACTTTACTATATTTATAATACTATACTATACCATATATGGTATGTTTCTCC